CTCCTGCAGCGCGGCGTGCTGCGCCTGCTGCGCCGCCGTGAGCCGCTCGCGCAATCCGTCGCACTGCTGCTGCAGCTGCTCCTGCATGACTGCCACGGCTTCCGCCACATCGTCCCGCTTCGCCTCGTTTCCGCGTGCGTTGGTAATGCACTGCGCGACGGTGGACTCCAGCGCTAGTTGTGTGGCAGCGGCGCGCGCTTCACCGGCCTGGGCGTTCTTTGCGATACCGTCGCGTAGCTCGCGCCGCGCCGCCTCCACTGCTGACTCTGCCGTGGCCACCCTCTGCGTCAGGCGGCCCTCTACAGAGTCCAGCACGGACTCGCGCTGCTGCGCGGCCCGCGCAACGGCATCCACTGCGGAACCCAGATCGTGCATGCGCTGCAGCAAGTCCTGCTCTAGCTTCTGGAGGTGATGCTGCACCGCTCGGGCTCCCTCGCTGGTGGCACCGCCGGACTGCATCACCTTCTGAAGCTCTGTGTTGAACATGGACTGCACCGCGTCGAGACGCAGGCGGACGAGTTCCTCCGTGGAGTCTCGCGCGGCTTCCCGTGCGACAGTACGCATGCGCTCCATCTCTGTATCAATCTTCACATTCACCATCTCGCGGAGAACGCCATCGAAACGAGTCTGGCGATCCTCCATGAGACGTCGTTGCCGCGTCAGGGTAGATTCCAACTCCTCCACGCGTCTGTAGAGTTCCGGGGTAACGGCTGCTGCTGTTGTTGCTGTCACTGTGGGAAAGCCGCGGCCATCAAGCCCTCCATCAGCATACCCAGGCGACGCGAACACAGTAGGCAGCGCCACACGCTTCTCTAGCGACCGCACAGTGTCGGTCAGGTATTCATTTTCTCTCTTCAGTTGCATAATCATGGCCTTTAGTTCGCCCACCTGGTTGACGACTTGACGCTGCACATCGCGGATTCCGTCGCAGCGGACATTCCGCTCCGTTTCTAGCTCCGTCACGCAGTTCTTCACCTGTGACTGCAGGTACTGGACGCTGTTCCCCATCTCCGCAAGCGACATGGGCACGTGCTGTGCCTTCACATGGAGGGGTTCGCAGGGCGTCTCAAGAGCTGCTGTTAGCATCTTACGCGCCGCCTCGTGACCCGCCTGCCGCCCACGAAGGCGCTGCAACGTCTCCTCGGACGATCGGATGTTGTCCTGGAGGGAAACCCTCCATTTGCCGCCCATACTTTGCATTCTATCCTGTATGAACGATACTTGCCCGAATAGGTGCACCACACAATATTAATATTA